TCAGAACTGATGAGATGTGCAAAAGTTCCAGAACTATTAGCAGTCAAGTATACACTGCCATTTCCTCACCTCATCATAGGAAAAATCTGATCACTCCAACCCTGTTGAATTAAATAAACTCAGTTTCCAGGACATGCAGTCAGAGGTAGGGCAGCTACTAGCCTCCAGCCTGGAAATATAAGACAGTGCTGTGACTCTGCAAAACCCCTCTGATGTTATCTGTGCTGGTAGATCCAGACACAGGAAAGAGCCAGCTGGAAGAAAGGGAGGGCTTAGGCAGTCCATAATACTTGTTTCTCTGTTTTGGGGAGCTATGGCTTGTTCTGAACATGTTCTGAGGAAATCTGCATAAAGCATAATTTCTGGAATAATTTTTGCAACTTTTGTTATATTAAATGAAGTTTTATTCTTAGGTTCTATTTTGTGCTCCAGGATGGCCAGCACTTGAAGAATTGTACCTGACTTCTAATAATATTACAGTTTTGGAAAGGTAAGATGAGTAATATCAGTCAGTTGTTTATAACTTTGCAGTACCAGTCGCATAGTAGATGCAGTTACATTCCTGTAACGTTTACATCACCGTAACATAACTGTAAAATTAATGATGCAAACATCAGGTGATGTACTTCAAAACACTTCTAAATGTACACAATTATTTGCATGCAGTTATATACTTAGAAAACTAGTGTTTTTCATTAACAAATAACTTTAACAAATAACTGCATTTGTTTGTTTCTTCCAATGTGGCAGGCCTGATAATGTCCTGCAGACCCTGAAGTTGTTAGACCTTTCAGACAACCAGTTACTGGATGGAAATCAGCTGCATCTAATAGCACATCTCCCCAGGTAGCTGTTAAACAAATTTGTTAAACAAATTGTTCATTTTCCAGTGATTAGTATTGTGTTAAAAGTTTATTAATCTTTGTTAAACAAAAATAATTGAGGTAGTATTTCTTCACAAAAAAACTTCCTGTGCCATGTACAGTAACCACTGTATCTATTAAATTTCAGATTAGAACAGCTAATACTTAGAAACACTGGAATATCTTCTATACACTTTCCTGATGCTGGATTTGGTATGTAAAAATAGTACTTTATAGTTTTATAATTCTCTTTATTTGAAGTTTTCACTATTGTGTTGTAAATTTACTCTTTTTCCTAGGATGCAAGACTAAAATGTTTCCTTCACTAAAACGCCTTGCAATAAATGACAATAAAATATCACAGGTAGGTTAGCTTGTGATAGTTTCACATTTTGTAAATACATGTATCTTTGAGTAAGACAAACTTGCAATTTGCTTTTTTAAATTTTCTTTGATTGTATGTATTAAGATCCTGAGGTAACTATGGAATACTTTGATTCAACACAGAGGTATAATTTAAAAATTGAAAAACGTTTCTTATTGGCTCAGTTAAACGTGTTTATGGTAGCTAGTCATATCTCCTTGCTATATCGTCATTCCTTTTGCAGAATTCTAATGATGTAAAATGCCTGAGTAGTTTTTCAGGGTGGTTTTTTTTTGGTTGGTTGTTTTTTTTACTTAATTAAATGCAGTGCAGTGGTTTGGTTTTTTTTTCCTTAGCTAAATGAACAGGATGACAGTTCTTGGTTCTGCTGACCAAAAGAATACTTTCAGTTATGATCATTGTACAGGAAGTCAATGTTACTGTGTATTGTTCTGAAATGAAGTACATTTCATGCTTCCTCAAAAGATTGTTCCCTTCCATTTCAGTGGTCATCTATAAATGAGCTTGATAAACTGCCAAGTTTGCAGTCACTGCAGTGTCACAATAACCCTTTCATGGACACAGAGAAGAACCCAGAGACCCTGAGACAGCTAATTATTGCCAAGATAGGTCAATTGGAGGTTTTGAACAAGTCTGAGGTACGTGATATTTCATCAGATTGCACGAGTCTGGGGAAAAACACTGAACCACTTCCTGAGGAATTGTTTTCAGTTTCTTTTAAGATTAGTGTTTGAGTGCAGGAGAAGTAAAAATGCTGACTATTCCACCACCTAGTCAGTGGGGCAGTCACTAGGGCTACAGAGTCCAGCCCTGTTTGTGAACGCTGCTAACTCAGTGGGAACTCTAGGACAAGATTGAGGAATGTTGGCTGTTTTTTTTTAAAGCACCCAAGTCATGTTAAAGTTGCAGGACTGTTAACAAAAACAATACTCTGGCCAAAAAAAAAACCCCAACCCCCCCAAAAAACAGGCAGCACAGTTGAATCTGTTTCAGTGATGTAACACAAGCATTTGCTTTCTGTAATAGGAAAATAGAATTATCTAAACCAAATCAAACTTTCAGCAAATCTCTGTAGTAAGAGAGCAGAAGCATCATCTGTTCCATAGCTACAAAACCCATCTTTGCATCATCATGTACAGTAGCATCTTTGCTTCCATACTCATTTATGGATCAGTCGGTACATGAAGGTAGGGGGTTGTAAGATTCTTGGTAGCATTAAAACATCCTGAACACCTAAGTAAGAGCAAGGAGTCAGTGTCATTAATTAGATTTTCTTCTCTGGAAAGTTGTATAATTATATTATGTGCCATTACTGTGTCAGTACAGATCCTTCCTGCTGAAAGAAAAGGAGCAGAGCTTGATTATCGCAAAATATTTGGAAGTGACTGGTTAGCAGCTGGTGGGAATTGGAATCCAGAGAAAAATAAACCAAGTGAAGAATTTCTCACTGCCCATCCCAGATACCTATCGCTTTGTCTTAGTAAGTCCAAGTACAATAAAATTAGCATTTCCTCACTTCTGGCATTGTGGTAGCACTGGTTTGGTTTCTCTTCAGTTGCCCTTCTCCTGGATGCTTTTTCTGTGCTTCTACTACTCTGGAAAGCCCACCTGCTGGCTGGCCTGGGGGCGAATGGCTTTTGCTTGGTGGGGCAGCTGCACTGTACTGCACCCTTCTGGGCACTACTGCTTCCGGGATGACACCTGTGAGCGCCTGCTCTGTAACTCCACTGGTGAGCAGGCAGGAGCTGTCCCCACTGGGGCCTTTTTTTAAAGTGGGAGAGTTAAGCAGCACCTCCCTGTGCCTGTCACCTGCCCCACCCCATCGCATGTGCCTGGGCACCCTCCTAAATGCTCCAGCAGTTGATTAAGGCTCATGTCTGCACTTTGGGGTGCAGGAGCCTCCCACTTTCTATTTTTGGCAGCCCAGCTGCTGAGGGAACTGAGGCAGCAGCCTCCCCCTGATCCAACAGGCTTGTGCCTGATCCAGCACCACCAGTGCTCCTAGGTCTGTTCTTAGGTTTTAGTCTTAGAAAGTTTCATGTTTATGTGCACTTCTTTTCACACAGAATATGGTGCACCTGAAGAAGGCGAACTGAAGGGACAACAGCCTTTGACTCTGAAAAATCAGCTTCTGAGTAAGAGGCCAGAAATGGTCAAACGAGTTCCTTCCGCATTTCAAATATCTTATGAGCTTGGTGTTTCCTAGGTGTATACGGAAAACAAAAGGTTGAAAAGCCTTTGAGACTTCAGAATTCCGGCTTGTAATTCTGCTTCTCTGAACTGTATCAAAGAGTACACAGAAGCAGATATCTAGTCAAACTCACTCTCATTTCCCCCTCAACCCAAGCCAAATGATTTTCTTAATGAAGATTTAATGGAGAGTGGAGGTAATCAATACTCCATTCTGTCACTGTGAATGGCTTCTCTGCAGAATCCACTTGAGATCTTAACCCCAGCAGCTGCACTGTTTTCTGATATTTTCTTTTTATAGTTTCTTAGCTTTAGGACAGTCAAGAAAAATATGGGTAGCTTTGGTATTTGGGGCTGTCTACATATTTAAACTATTTTACATCCCAGACTTAAAAATTCACTTAGCTTTGTTTCCCACTGAACCTGTTTTTACTTTAGGGGCAAAATAGTATTTTAAGGCATTACATTCTAAGGCATTTAGATAGAAGACTAAATAGAACAAGGAATCTAGTTGGCTAGATGTAACAAACTTTTTTTTAAGGATGAATCTTTTAATCACTATAAAAGAATTCAGTTAACTTCCTGAAAATGTGCTTGTACAGTGCTTTTGAGATATTGAGGGTCAAAAACCTGCTTTAAATTGAGTAAGCAGTTTCCATTCTACTGCAGGTTATTTTAGAAAGCTAACTAGAAATTAATCATTTTTAGGTAAATACTCCTTTTGACCAAAAACCATTTTAAGTGCTAGGGAATCACTTTAAAATATTTTCCCTAATTTAACAAAGATGAATAAACAGTTGGTTATTTTAATAAAATTCATCTTAATGATGACTAAATGCTATTTTAGCTGCTCAGATGTAGGCTATATCCTAATCTTTTTAGAAGATCAGGCTGAGCTAGGGGAAATGATTTGTAATAACAGACTAGACTCAGTGCTCATGACAGAACAGGGCTTAATGTTCATTCACTAATGCTTCACCATTCTTCCTTAAGCTTTGACAATTAAATGTCCTGAGAAACCTGAACAGAAGCCAGTAGAGAAGAAGCTACCAGGTAAGAAGTCTTGGCTTGTGTTTAAGCAGTTGATTTGTAGCTCCTTTTCAAGTAACTGTGTTAAAGAATGGCAGCTGCCTCTGGCTTTGTCAGCTCCTGAAGGCTCTGTCACATAAAGAAATCTGAAAAAGTAATTATTTTTCTGACCTTCATACTTACTTTCAGTCCAGCTTGAAGATTGAAAGTTGATGCTTGTCTTGACCTCTGCTGCTGGTTTCATGATTTATGTGTCTGAGGCAATCCTGGCTAATTAACTGGTGTGAAATCTGGTGAATGTGTTAACAAAATAACAAGTTGTAAGAGCCAACTCTGTAGTACACAGTTCTAGATATCAAGGTCTAGTATCTAATACATTAAGTTAGAAATCTAATTCTGACCTGTATCAAATTTGTCTTTTGAAGTTTTAGTGCCTGTAGTGAGACTAGAATGAATGGAATCTGTTCTAAATCAAACTGATGTTTTGGAAAGATGTGTCAGAATGGAGTGTGAAAGAAAAGAATTACTCAAGCTTTATTCTAAAATAAAAATCACATTTATTATCACAAGTTGCATAAAATCAGATAGATACAGCTTTTACAAAAATGTTTGATAGAAAAATATTTGTATAAGTACAATGTGTGGTATTACAGGAATAACTCACTATTGCTGTGCCTTTAGATAAAGCTTCAAAAGAAGTGAAAGTTCAACCAAAATATTGAGTATATCTATTGCAAACGCAGGTATCACCTCCAGAACAAACTACACTTGCTCATTCAAGATCCATTACAAAAAATATCCCTTCATGTAACTGACTTTATATTATAAGCCACTCTACAACTCTGCTGGCAATTTGTTTTGGACTAACCAATGTAAATACCACTTCTAAGAATGGCACTAGCTCCACAGTGACACTGTGCCGGGAAAGCCAATTCCTGGTAATGAAAACTTCAAGGAACAGTTGCCAGATGCAAGTAATCAGAACCTGACTGGTATGTGTCCCAAAGGTCACTTAGTTTAACATCTAAATACAAACTCAAAAAAGCTGAATTATGAAGCTGTAACACTTCAGTTTGGTATATGGGATCAAAGCGCTTAAACTGTAGTAGCATATCCTGTTCTCTCTGCTAGAGATTAAACCATTTTCAATTTGACATTAGCAGTTATGGTTTCAGGTACAAAAGACATTATTGCAGTGTTAGAACTGAAGCAGCAATACAGCCTTTTGCTGTCGCTATAAGCAAGTACAGTTGAAACACTAGTACTTTGCTACAGCTCAGTAGTAGCAGCATTTTTCTAATAACTTTTCTTTCTTTCCCCTTGACAGAGTCTATGACTATTCAGAGGGTCAAAGGATTGCTGTATCGCCTACTTAAAATTCCTGGTTCAGAACTGAAATTGTCCTATGAAAGTTCTAAAGTGAGTTAAAAATGGGTAATTCAGTGACAAAATACTGCATGCTGCTACAGGTCAATAGCATGTTCTAAAATACTGCCTAATCAAATAATTTCACTTACAGAGGTCAGTCTTCATGCTGTAATTTAGAACCTAATTTCATTCCTGTAGTATGACAGGTCATCCCTGACTATAACTGTCTGCTCTATATTTGGTTTATATGAACAGATTTCAGTTTGTCTGATCAGGTGTTTTTCCTTTCTTATTCTAGCTGGAAGGAAAAGAAGTTGAACTAGACAATGACTTAAAGCCTTTGCAGTTTTACTCAATAGAAAATGGAGACTGTGTGTTAGTACGGTGGTAAGAAGGGACTCTCATGATAGACTGAAAGAAAAGCCACCACTGGAACTGCCAAAGAATTACAGATGACCCAGAGATAGTACGGACAGCCCGCACCTGAACACACCTACAGGAGAACATGAATTTCATACATGGCACCAGAGGGCTATACAATATTACTTTCAGATCCTAAACTTACTAGTCTCCATGAAAGCATTTGCTTTTGGCTGAACTGTCTTACGTGAGAGATACCAAACAGTGCTCAAATGCTTCAATTAAATAAAACTCAAGGTAACCATTTTGCCAAGATTTTGTACTACCTTCCCACTGCTGTGGTGAGATTTTGTTTTACTGAACTGAGTACATGATTTAGTTGTGATCTCTCTGATTATAACAGGACAAAATTAGTGCTGCACTGAAAGAGGCTACTTGCACTTTTTGTTTTTACCTACTTCCAAAGGCCTTAAAGCAAACAAGAGTAAAACAGAAGTAACTACACAGCCCTAGACTATTTAAGATCAAAATCTGACAGACCTTTATTCTATCCTACAGCGTTAACATACCACAGTATAAATAAGTTCTCAGCATCCTGCAAGGCATTTCTAGTTATTTTACATTCTTCAGTGTGCCATTCCTCAGTCTTATTTTACATTCACTTGTGTACCCTCAGATTCGTATCTGATAGCTCATTGTGTTATCAGAAATCCCTCCTAATCAAGCCAAGTCTGCAGTACTTCAAGATTTGGTATAAGCAAACTTTGATACTGTTTTTATCTAATATGACAATGGTATAAAGACTAAACATAAATCCTAACCGCAGCTGTTCCAGCCCCTGCACAGATGAGGGCAGCCCCTCAGACAGCACCAATCCTGCTTGCAGCAAGACTTACCAGATGCCCTGGTGCTGAGCACAGCTCTCCCCTCGATCCTGGTACAGCTCTAGACTGAGTTAAATCAGTAGTATTTTAACTTACAAAAGACAGGCTAGTTGGCATTCTTATGTGCATTTATTAATTACAAGTAGGTCTTTGACTTCATATAAAAAGGAAATTTTTTATCTTAAACATTTTGGTTTTTGTCAGGTCAACATCTATACTATAGAAAATGAATAATATCAGTCCACTTGTAATTATCAAAAGGGATGTGCAAATATTGTTGTACTTTAGTTGAAACCCAACATTAAAAGATAGCTTAATATTCCTTATTGTTCCAAGAATGAATCCAAATGTACACTTTTCCATGATCATGATATACAACCCTGTTTTGCAAGGCAAGTCCATCATCTTTCCTCACATCTACAAGGATCTCCACACAGTTCCTTTAATCTCCAGAGTGCTCTGAGTTCCTGTGGGGAGTACTGGGGGGAAGAGAGCATGCCACTCTCACATGTCTTCTCACACAACCAGAGACTATCCTGTTAGAGAGAGAACCATGTCAATAGTATTTCTTACAAAGAATTTCACTTTCAACAGTCTTTTCCACACACAGGTCACTATCTAGATGTATATGTCCCTCTCTGATCTGCCAGACCTATGCAGAGAACTTCGGGGGGGCAGGATTTTTCTCAGTTGTAATCCAAAGGCCGTTTCATTTTTTTTGGAAGAAAAAAACATTTCCCCTGTTTTATGCTATTTAGAGCAGGAGGTATGTTCTCTTTCCATAAGATCGGAGAATTTCTTCAGACCTACTTGATATCGCTTGGGTCCGACAGCTGCCATCCAGATGCCCATACTCACATCTTCACCCTGAGACAAAACATTAAAATAAAAAAAACCCACAACAGATGTCAGCACCAGGGAAGCATGAAGTATTATAACTCTGTGAACTAGAATAAGTTGCATCATGTTAACAGCAGTAAAAAAGTAACTACAAAAACCTAGTCTCACTATTTTAGAGGTGTTAAATTAATCCTCCCAGCTTTCATGTGATAATACATTGTTATTAAAAAAAACCCAAGATTACAGCTCCAGAGGTTCTCAGTCCAAAACAGTTTTGCTTTGACCAAGAATGGACACAAAGCATAGCAACCAAAAGCACTGCAAAAAGCCAGCATTAACCAGGAGAACCCAACAACAACACTTCAGCAACATTCCTTCCAGCTCATCCAGTACACACGCTGCTTCCCAGACCAGTTTAAGATAGAAAAACTGAACCAAGGCCTTACTACCTGGTATGTCTTTAATCTTTCAGAGTTGCTTGCCAGCCACTGAACAATGTCTTTGGAGATGACGTAGCCAGACCCACAAGCAAAGGCTGGATACGCAGGACTCGGGTACTCCAGCTCTTGCCATTTCCCAGTTCGATCAACTGCCCAATTTAGTCTGAAACTGAAGACCATGTTAGAGATGAGATGTTTATACGAAGCCCTCTGTGAAACCTATGAACACTGCTAACAGCTGAAGCAACGTTGATAATAAACACTATTAGAGGAAGAAGTAGAAGGTGATTTTATTAGAGTTCCTAGCCTTATTTATGTAAGGCACACATCAAATCAAAACAACAGCTGAAAGCATAACCATCATTTGGTCTCAATCTTGGGTAACAGAAGTTCTCAGAACAGAAGCAAACACAACACTGCATGTCTGCACCTGCTGCTGGGCTTTGACCCAGGTAAGCACAAGCATCCTTTACCTTACTTGTTCTGTAACAAGCACATCTGTGTTCAACCTCCTTTGGTTAATCGACATGACACAAAGTCAGTGCCTCCAGCAGGAATATGTTTACAGCAAAGTTATACAACCCATTTTCCTGATAAAACCAGTGACTGCTTAAAAACCAGGAAGCAAAGCAAAACCTTCTTTATAGACCTTCTCAGCTGTTTTCCAGATGAAATTCAACAAAGTAGATGTTCAAAGGCTGCCATCGCTGAATTACAAAATACCTTCCTGGCAGTAGTCTTCTCTACGCAAGACTGTACCTTACTACTGGAGGCCTGCAGGAAGGCAACAGTGCTCTGGCTGCACAGTCTTTCCACGCTGACCCTGTCCCCAGGCACTGTGGCATAGCTGAAGCTCTAACACACAAATTTTTTTGTGTTGACAAGTTAACCCTTGTGTTGTGTTGACAAGTACTTCATGCACTCACAGCTAAGTGGCTTAACTGTCAAAGCAGAAGGTTCTCCCCGTTCTTGAAAACAGGTTCAAGCGTTGCTGAACTCAGTCATGAGCAGAAGCAGTTAAAAGCTTCAGTGAACTACTAAGAATTGTCACCTCAGACAACAGTCCCATAAGGAAGGAATTACAGTTGAGTGGCAGATCTTATCAGACCCTACATGTTCACAGCTGAAGCTGACATGTCAAAGCCCCAAGTAGATAAAAGTCACATCTGATACCTGAATTCACTTTAGACTCAGTATCTGACTCTAGTGAGTCAGAGCAGGAGGGGTGCAACCCCCTCCAGACTGAGGGGCACCTACTTTGCTAATCATTTTATACTGCTCTCTAGTGATGTCAGTGATGTTCACTACACCTCACACTTGCCTTACCTGAAGGCTGTGATTATTAGAGAATTTATACTTGAAGATGTTACCCCTATATAAGGTTCTCCACAAACAGAAAAGATGATGTACGACTTGCTACTTCCTTTTGTCAGTAACCTAATAAAATTACTCGATATCTTAACACACCATTTCAACAGCAAGACTCAGCAAAATTCATTTTTCAGTCTGCACATGAAAGCATTATCGATCTTTCTAAGTTCATTAAAGGGCTACTCCATTCTAAGCCTAGAAATATGTTACTAGAACATGAAGCATATCTTACACCCCTGGAAAAGGGGAGGTTAGTATTACAAACAAAACCTATCTTTACAGAAAACTCTTAAGTATATGAAGTCTCTTTTTGGCCTAATTAAGATCAAGAAAAGGTGGCATTCTGAACTCCCACTGCTTTCCATAGCACGGTAGATGACCCAACTTCACTGAACCGCCTTTTTGTTTACAGCATTTGTATTAGACTCAATCTCCCCTCAGAAACAGCTTGGTATGTTCTATCCCATCAGAAATTCAGTCATTTTAGACAAGATCAGTGATCTGTCAAAGACATCTCCCTAATGCCTGAGGGTGACTAATCTTCTGACTTTTAAGTCTGAGTTTTAAAAGAACAAAATAGCAGTAACTTAAGGTAAGTATGTTCTCTCCAAGATAAGTCCAAGTTCTTTAGTAGGATACCTGGACCATTTGGTTTGCCAGCCTGCAGTCCCAAAATGCTCTTGATCAGCTAAATAAGCTTTTTAAATGGTGATTTTAAATTAATGAACAAAACCACCACACAAGATGGTGGCATCAGAAAAGGGCTATTAACTGGCAGCATGAATAAGTACTCATCAATCCAAAGCATTCCCTTCCCAGTTTCACTGAGATCTCATCCTTGCTTTCTGCCAGAGTAAACTGAATGCTAGTAAGTTTCTCTAAGAATCCAGGAATTAAGTATTAACAGATTATAAGGATCACTGCACAATAAACTTGACTGAAGTATATAAGGTCTAGTTGAAGAAGGCAAAGTTTGAGTTCAGACACATGCTCAGAGGAGCAGAAGGAAGGGAGACTATCAATAATCACCTCAAGGGCCTGACATACTAACCTTCGGCTCAGGAAGTTAAGGTCTCCACACACCAGAACCAGCTCTCAGAGAAGCCTAACAGCATTTCATTTGCACTTTCACCAATGCTCAAGTCTGAACACTCAATATTCAAGTCAAGATGTCACTGAGCTGAAATGCAGGAGATGGATGGATCCCCCCAAACCACTCAGAAGACTCCTGTACACTCAGTGGTTACCCACAAAGCTAAACACAATCAAAAAAAAGTAGCCAAGGAGCAGATCCATGGTAGGCAACAACACAAAGGTAGGAACATCTACCATTGCATAGTAGGGACACCAGGGAGGAAGGGGACAACCTCTCTGGTATCACATCCTCAGCTCTTACAGCCAAGAACTTACTCCAGAAGAATTCCCCCTACATCAGCTGGAACAGCAGCCCAGGCAGCTTATACCTAGTGCTATTTTTCCTTTTGCAAGTTGGTTTCCATCTTGTCATCAAGTTCCTGACCTTTCATACTGCTAGAATGAACATCTATCTTACATGCACTATTAGCCTTGCCATGTGGTAAAGGTAGTCCCAAGAAAATTTAACAGGCACCAGGCAATCGGGGTTTTTGTACAGGCTAGAGAACACATGCCCATGACTCAGATCTTTGAGATCATCACAAGACAGGCAGCTACTCCACACACTTTGACGCACACACTTCCACACACCTTATTAAATCACCTTACAAGTAAGCAATAGTACCACATTTGTGAAGGAAGACACCTTCAGCGCAAAAGCCAGCTTTTTTTCAGTAAGCAGATGGCAACAGGAAGCCACATCGTGCCACTGTGCTATGTTGAATGTTACAGCAGCATAGCATTTCTGCTATATCAGATGTGATACCAGTGTAGCGATGGATTCCATGGATGGAAGAGATGGGCTATTTTGACTCTCCTAGTTATTCACAATTGTAATAAGTGTTTGGGAAACTTCACTCAAGAATTCATGAATCTGATCAACCATTTCAGACCGCAGCAAAATGGGTAGTAATGTCTGTCATGCACAGATTTCAAAATAAAGTGCAGACTATAAAGGCAATTTTGTTTTTCCTGTCTACCCCATTTCCTCAAGCCCACCAGAAAAATCAAAGCAGCTTCAAAAAAAGGAATGCTTACAATTCTATTACGTACTCGCCTTTTAACTTTACTGCTGGAATGCTTTTATTTACTTCAGTAGCATGACAAAGACATACACAACACATTTTAAAACTAGGTAAGATATTCAGCAAGTTCAACTCATTGTAAAGGCATGCTCTGGAAAGCTATTGTAAAGGACTGATTTCTGTATTCTGAGATTCAAAGATCTACACATACAAAAGTCCTGCTTTTTATAGCTAGCTTCCATATGCAGAAAAGGGGAACCCACATGAAAACAGAGTTAGAGCAATAAACCGTTCACTAAAGACAAGTTAAAAAAAGACAACTCACTTTCCCCACCAAATGTTTGGCCTGTCCATTTTTTTCTGCATTATCCTGTTAAAAACAGCCTCCAAATCAATGTAACAGTCATCATCTGTCTTCAGCAACAAATCAAAACTCGTTGATTCAACTGTCCTGTAGCCAAAAAGAAAAGTGATGAGATGCTGAGCTGCAGCCCACAAAGTACAGTTACGCAACAGAACACTCAGCAAGGGTTTTTTGGGAAGCAGAGGGGGAAGGAAGGAATGCGTTTCCTACCCTTGACTTTTAAATGTTTTCCCTATTGACCAAGGCTGACTGTTTGTTGTACAGAAAGAAGATGCAGCTGCATCCTACAATGATCTTACAACACGGGTTTGTGTATGAGCTGAAGAAAACAAACCTGAAGTGTTGTTCTCCAGGACAGATGGTGGATTTACTAATAAATCCATCTTAAACAGTATTGACCTCAGAAGGATATGAATCCCTACTGATGACGGCAGCACAGCTGTTAAATGGCAGTGGCTACATGTCAGTAGCCTACTCTTCAGGATGAGACAGTTAGTTCAAAGACAATACAACTGTAGAAGGTTGTAAGAAACATCTGTGGAAACAACTTGGTACTTCCTCAGTAAAGCACCCTTCCAATATGCAAACAGTAATCTTTAACTGTCTGAAATAGTTGAATATCTGTCACTTGTAAAATAACCAAAGCAGCTTAAGATTCTAGGGATTATTCCTAGGTTGATTAACAAACATTGTTTTGAAGGGTAATTTCTCTTACCAAGAAAGGCAATTTCCTTAAGCCTCTTATTACTAAATCTTGAAAAATTTGCTAACCTGTAAGAAATTATCACAAAGATCCTGACATTTAAACCCTCTTTTTAGAACTGAAAGCATGGTTCAGTTTTTCAGTTACATTCATAACCATGAAATTTGTTAAATAAGTGCATAATCTTGCACTAAACTAAACTAATTGTCTAAACTAAAACTGTGAACTATATTTTTTACTCCACAGCAACATCAATTAATTGAAACAGTTGTCTCAGAGTAGTGGAAATAATTGCAATTTAGAGGTAATAACTTATTAGATTTATCACAGAGAATGCAATACACTACAAAAATTCTTCCCTCTCAACCTTCCATCCCCCCTGTACACAAGCTTCCTACCCTTCCCCTCTACTCCACACTGATGAGGCTACACATGGAGTACGGTCTGCAGTCTCAGGCTCGGCTCCTCAGTACAAGAGGGACATGGACAGACTGGATGGAGACTCCAGCAAAGAGCTACCAAGATGCTTTAAGGGACTGGAGCATCTCTCCTATGAGGAAAGGCTGAGAGAGCTGGTACTGTTCAGCCTGGAGAAGAGAAGGCTTAGGGGGAAGCTCATGAATGTGTGTAAATACCTGAAGGGAAGCTGTAAAGAAACAGAGCCAGGATCTTTTCAGTGGTGCCCAGGAACAGGAACAAGAGTCAGCAACCACAAACTGAAACACTAAGTATACAAGCTGTCCAAAAGCCATCCTTTAAAAGACTAAAGCTCCTAGTTTTCAGTCAGAAACAAATTAAAAGAAATTGCAAGGAGATGTGAAAATTTTCACACCTGGACTCTTACAGAAGCTTGTCTTGCCAGCTCATGCTTATTTGAGGCACCAAGGGTCAGCATTCAGGAAATACAGATCCTGTTATTTTACTCACTACATGCCCCCAAAATTGTGAGACAGAAATACAACTTAATGAAGTAAATCACAGCAGGTATGTATTTCATGGAACCTGTCAGATAACATAACACACTGGATCATCTTGCACTACAAACAGCAACATTCCTAGGAGAAAATACTTTCTTTTCAACTTACCATCGGTAGAAGTTCAGCAGTTTGGCTGGAACATTTCTGTAAGTGTCAATAACATCTACAAAAACAATATCATCATAGGTACTGCTTTCTTCCTTCAACAAAGCATCTTCTTTCTCAAGATTTTTGATGTGGCTTGTAAACCTTTCTGGGCGAGTATCGAGGCTTTTTAAAAGAGCATCACCTTCTGAAAGAAAAAAGACCCATCATTAAACAAAGATGCATACCTACATACATGTTTCTCTTGGATCATACATGACATAGTGACAAAATGAATCTGAAGAAATGTTCAACTCAATGGGGTTATGAAAATCCTATAATTAATTTCCATGAAGTGTTAAAAGTTGCAGAACAAAGAAGTATACATTTGCATAAGGTCTGATAGAGAAAGTTTAAAGTAAAAAGAGATTCTCTTCCTTTTCAGTAATAAAAGAATTCAACTTTCTAAGGTTCTTTAATATAAAGAGCTGTCTGGGCCTTCATTACTACTGGTAGAGTAAAAAGGTTACTGTTATATCCTAACTTATCTAGCGTCAAAACAAACTCCAAAACAAACTAACAAAAAATCCGGTGCTAAATATAATCAAATTGGCATTGCTTTGATGTAGCATAGGTGGTTCCTGCTGAACCACATCACATAACTGACTTCAGATAAAAGCTAAAAAAATATTGCAATAATATTGAACTTCTTGGTAAGGAGATAGTTTGTGGTACTGAAGAACATTTTAGCAAACAGGATGGAAAGGCTAAGTCTCAGTTTAGTCTCCTACAGAGATGACAAGACAACAGGACTGCACAATTTTATTTGCCAGACCTAGCTACAGAAACACAGGAACACTCTGAAATTCACTGCCTATGCTGGCTATGATGGACCGATGATAATACATCAACTCTAGTGCTACATGGCCAAAACGTTAGACATTAGAAAAGGCTCCTATACAGTCTCTGAACATTCTGCTGAAATCGGTGTAAAACGGCAACAATAGGGGAGGAAAAGCAGGCTATGATAGGTAGTCACTGTTTGTCAGTAGTTAATATTAAACATAATGACACCACACTTCTAACAGTAGTAGGACAGGAAAAATGTGAAAATTATCAGGAAAAGATTTCACTGCACAACATTTTTTAACTTGCATTTGGGTAACAAAAAACAAGTACAGAGAAGAGTCTAGATAAAAATGGTATGTCTGTTAATAAGAAGACAAAGGGATGTGAGTCAGCTGGAGTGGCTGACCAAGGGCAAGCAAAGAAACCACATCACGACAATTAGGCATAAAAAGCACAGAAGGAAATGAATTGTTTCTACTAAAAGAAAACTTAAGGTGATCAAGTTCATAGAGATAGCATGAATTTTACCTCAGAAATGTAATTTAAAGTTCCTGTTTTATCACAACATCAAATTTGATGCTACATTTTGCACTTACCTTGAATAGTGTAGATAAAGCCACCTGCTATTCCCTCCACACCTTCTGTGAGTTCATGTGGCAGTGACCCTTCCCCTGCCTGCTAGAGACAGATTAATGGAAAGAAATAAATTAGATCACCTCTCATTCCTGGTGTGTTTTTCCCTAAAAGTTTAAGGTGTGAATTTTTCTAGCAACTGAGAATTAATTTAAAGCTCTTCTGGTTCTGCATAATAAGAGACTAAGCCTAACAGTTTTAACTGTAAAGTTCTGTGGCATTTTTTTTAAGTTTGACCTAAAATTAGCAGGACCACAAACTTTTAGAAACTAGCTTAAAAGTTAAGAGCAAAATGTAAAAGTTATTCTGGCTAAATTCCAACAGCATAGCATGTTTAAGCAAGCAATGTTTTGACAGGAAAATAGACACACTGCCAAAAGGCAAAAACCAGGTTTAATCCCATCAACTGGAATCTCAGCACAGGATTTTTGACCCACATTTTGCCATCTCTGATATACTGATACTGCTTCACACCTGACAAAGACAATAGATGAACTTTACACCCTTCAAAATAAAAGAAAATGCCACTTACTAGCATAACTTTTTGCATGCCCTTGTCCTTTTCCCAGGCAAAGCAACCTTTCCCTCTGAGACAACAGGAGAAGCCCAACTGAATTAGCAATTTACAGAGAAACACAGGAAAGCAAAATGCTAAATACCCAAGACTTATAGGAAAAATAGAAACATGGTAGAAGGGAAGGTGAGGTGACTTACTGTAATGACCCTGAAAACACCCCCTCCATCATTCACTGTGACTTTATGAAGGTTTCTTGAAACAAGGCCCTGAAGATCCTGGCTTTCCCAAACAATGGTACCTTCAAAACTCTGGGAAGAGAGCAAAACATGTTATATAGGGCATCCAAACACTTCAAAGGATGAAAAACAGACAGTTTGGATTTTTTTATTTTAAAATAGTCAACTTCACACAACACAGATTTTTACTTACATTTTAGTAAAAAGAAGTTATGCGTAAGACCTACATCTGTGAAATGCAGTAACATATAATCATGCTTTTAAGACTAATCATGAATCTCTATATTAGATCTGTTAAACTTTTAACAGAAGTCCAGTGTAAATGGCTTTGGCATTCTATCATCATTAAGATGGCATTTAAAGGTGACTTGAAGTGAATTTTTAAAAATCAACTAAAAAAATCCTGCATTACGAAGAGAATACATTAAAACAGACTTGGAAATAAGTGCTGCTTTTTAGTTATCTGCCAAAACCAAGAGAATAGAGACTCAACCCTGGTATCAGCAAAACTCAAAGGAAAATATAGCCACCTTTACCCTGGCAAAGCGGTCACAAGCTACTGTAGAAGAGTCATAGAACTCTGACCTCACATCTTGGCTGGTACGGAAAGGAGGAGAAAGACAAGCAAGTATCTTCAAAATTTTCTGGGTTTAACTGTCAATTTAAGTTATGTCACTACATCAGGTTTTTATACATATATATATATATACACATACACACACACATATATGTGTGTGTAATTTCTTGCATTTAAAAGCATTTCATCTCAACTTGAAACTAATCCACCTAACAGTCCAACCATTACCCATTTTATATAAGACTTTCCTGGAGACCTCTGGGAACATGCAAAGATACAAGTGGCATGTTGTACAGGTAAGAGTACTGGTAATATTACATTTTTTTAAAGCAATTCCCCTCTCATGACAAGGTAGTGTAGAGTAGTTGTATGGTTATTATACTCCTGACTGCTAAATGAGCGCATTCTGTTTTGTTTCTCCCAATTTCATAGGAAAAACACTGGTAGCTAGTGTGGACCTTAGAACAAAGAAACAACTTGCTTCAACTATTTGTGGAGGCAACTCTGTTTCTGCAAAAAGTCTGTTTATTTGTACTAACCTCTCAGCTCTTCCCCATTTTAGCTTCCTTGTACTCTAGAAACCTTTTCCAGAAACTCTCCAGTTACTGACACAACATTAAGTCTAGCTCAGAGTTCAACGCAATTTTTTACTTTCCTCTAGAAGTAGGTCTTAACATCTGCAGCAGTCTCGGTATTTAATGACAGCTGCGTATTTCAGATGTCTCCCATTTATTATTTATAATGCCAGCTTTATAATCTAATAATGGAGCTAGTCAGTGTTTATTCAAGCCTGACTTACATGCTCAATCCCTTCCCCTTGTTTGTTTAATTTCCTTAATTACAGTTATCAAAGCAAATGGACCACTACTAACACTTCTTTTAGTGGCAGGATGCCTGAACACCCTGCACAGTAAAACTTACATGCTCAACCATTTGCAGTGGTTGCCATCTCCCATTCCAATATTTTTTGCTGTAGGGACTAGGCTCTAATCCCACTTCCGTGCCTTGTTTACAGACACAACCTTTTTGGTAAATTGTTTACTGAGCCTGAGACACCTTTCACTCCTCAGCAACCAGAAACATTAAAATTCTCACCACTGACTATTATTGATACTGACTTCAAACATGTACCAAGAGTCTTAATCAGTTATTACCAGTGAACCTCAGCTCAAGGTGTCCTAAAGCTGCAAATTATCATTATTTTCCAGGTTCAGAGACTTGTAAGCAAATTTTCTAATGACTTTAGCCTTCAGCTATTCTTACTCTAAGCTGCTTAATGAAAGCTGAGGCCTGAAAATGCTTAAAGCAAAACATTAGTGGCACACCTGAGACTACATCATCTGTTTTTCACCATTTAAATTCCAGCCTTGTTGCTGCCAGAGCGCAGTGGCATTTACAGTGAATACCGAACAGGTGTACTGACATAATGCAGCCCTGCCAAACTCCTTTCCTAATGTTAAACAGTGCTGTGCTTTTTGTTCCTCCAACTACTCCCCATTAATAATACAGAGAATGCATAGTACGGAGTCCCATTTTCATGCAAGCAACCCGTGGCTTTTTGACAAAATAAGTGCATTGCTAAGACTTGGCTGTAAGAGCCCCTGCATGACTTTTAGTTATCTGCTAGTGGTTCTGCTCTTTTGCGCTTTCAGTCATTCCAAAGCTGAATGATCGATTCTGTCTTAGACAATCTGGCCTGCCAGATGCTTATTCTAATGTTGCATTTCCCTCCCTTTCCGCGAGACAAACAGAAAGAGCAGCACTTCAGCTGGAAGATGAATGAAGCTCTTCAGCAGTCTGTACAATCCATTACTTCTTGAAGGTGGAAAGGCAGAGAATAGATATTGTCTCAGAAACCATCTTGTGACAATTAAACAGTTCACTAAATTTACTGCTCTCAAACAAGTAGATAGGAACACGTGGGCGTTCTATCTCCTCTGAATCATCTTGTATGGTTCAGCATCCTAAGTATCACAGGAGACTACATGCTGTGCATAAGCCCTATTAATCTACATTAGAAACATCATGTTATCCTGTAAGCATCCAGCACATGACACGTCTCAGATTAAGGAAGCCTGCACAAAGAAATGCATGAATACTAATATCCCCTTTCTAAATGAAATACTTCCCACCTGCCTCTCAGAAAAAATGCAATCATTTATAGCAAAATTACAACTGCCGACAATTTTAGTATCTCAGAACAAAGTCTTACAGGGAAAAGGCTTACATGTTATATTACCAAATTACTGGGTAACCAATACTCTTTTTTAAAAAGGTAAAAAACTCTGAATCATATTGATATCAAATTAGATTGTTAAATCATATGCACAAAATACTGCAAGAGGTCTGCTCATCCAAAAGGTCTCCTGACAGCATAACAAACTTGCATAGTATTCAGTAAAAACTGTTTGAGATGATAAACCAATTAATCAGCTGCAGATTCCTCTTAAAAGAACAGGTTTCCAAATGCATTAAGTCTTATAGCGCCAGGGGAATAAATCAGGGATTAAACTGGCCCCAAATGTCTTCTCCTTCCCCATCAGTCTTCTCTTGCTCCATTCTTTCATAGAATTTTTTGCATAACAAAACAACCCAGACTTGAAGACAACCTACAGAAATAGCATCAAGGGTCCAGTCATATAGGAGAACATTTAAATGAAGGGAAACAGCCTAAAATGACAGCTGACATCTACTAAGAGATCACGGTCCACTGGGAACAATTCCTTGTACCTTGTCTGCTGAACTAGAATTGTAATTCTGAGTCAATTTGTATTCACTAAACCTTCACTCTAACAATATCAAGTTTTTCCCTACCTATATTCTGTTCCTTCTGTGTTTAATCACCTTCCTTCCTAGGCTGCCACAAGTAGGTTCTATGTCCCTATACCAAAATGCTACTCTTCAACTGCATCCCCCAATCCCAATGAGGATTAAAAAACCCCCCAAACTTTAGACCCTGCCTCGTTAGCTTCGCTAATAGTATCTCAGGACACGCAAGAACACTAACACTCATTACTGTCCCAAAAGCTCCCAAATTTCTGAGGGGTGACCATTTTGGAAAAAAAAAAAAAAAAAAAAAAAAAAAAAATCTGCCATAGAACACTGACAGCTTTTAAAACCCCAAATGTCAGTCTCCTGTGTGCCACATACTCCATCTTGTATATTATGGAGACACCCTGCTTAAGATCTTCTTGAAGTTCTAATTCTTGATTCCTTGCATGGTTCAATGAATGAAAAATTCATCATTAGTGCTGCCAAAAAGGGAATAACCAAAATTTCAGTAGCCCTCAGTAAGAGCTTCTCAGTTAAAACTATTCAACTAATACTATAATTGCAAACATAAGACACAATATCGTTCTGTTATGTCCAAGACATCAGAAGCAGAAACGTCTTTTCCAGATGTTCCCTAAAAATCTGTGCCATCCTCCCCCCTCCCAATTTTGTGTACTAACATCTAGAAAATCAGGAGGGAGAAAGAAGTGTCCCATTCTCTGGTAAACTCTCCCACAGAATTGAAGAAGGTACAGTTTTCAATCAGAAACTGAAAAGGTTTTGGAAATTGCTACTATTCATCAACGTAATTTTTTTAACAATTTTAATTTTCAGGCTTTTGCTTTATAATTACTGGTGATAATGAGACTGTGGAAAAGAAATTCTGGATTTTAGCATATCCCCTCAACTAACATTCTAGAGGTTTTCACTTGCCCTTTTCTGTCTCAAGCAAAGACCAGATTCATCAGTCAGTCTCTCCAGCTGACTTAAAAGAACTGCAGGCAGTTCTGATACTGCACATACCTCTGGCAAAATGAACTGTTCTACGGGCTTGTACCACAATCTGTTCACTTGCACTCCACAGCTTGGTGGACTAAAGCGAGCACTGAAGAGAGCTTCCTGTGAACCACAGAAAAGGAAAAAAAAAACCCAACATACATTAAAGGTGCTGTGAGATCATACAAATCTTGACATCTCAGTGAGGTACAATGGAAAGAGGCTTATTGGTTGTATAAACCTTAGTGGGAGTTTTATCCTCAGAACAGTCTCAGACTCCATAGAATTCAAGGGTTGGATTGATATGATGGAAGCAAGCAACAATGGAACAAAAGTGCAAGTTCAGCTAGAATCCAACCAACAGAGCATATAATCTGGAAGACTCACTCTTCTCCCAGTCTACAGACTTTGTATCTTCTGTTTAAATAGCTGACTACTATTGCAACTGAGGATGCTGACCCCTAAAACTTAATTGCTGCTATATTACAGAGGCCACCAAATGGCTCTTAGATAACAAATGACAAAGATGCTGCACTGCCACATGCCTAGTCTTCCGAAAACAGTCCCCAAGCACTCCTATGATACTAACTTTTCTCCTTCACTGGAAGTAAAAACTTAATGCAGGTCAAGTTATTAGGCTCTAAACATTTAGAAGTCTACCATTTAGGAAACATAAACTTTATTTTAGTATATTGGTTTTGCTATTATAAACCAAACTCTTTAGAAGTTGATCATAAAAGCCACATTTTCATATCATAAAAGTGTATTTTCCATATCAGCTCAGATTTAAAATTCTTTCTGCTGTAGCATAGCCAGAAGTCTTTAAACTGGCCTATCAAGTTATTGGTAGAGATAAATGCAATATACCAAATGCAACAATTATGCTCAATGATTTTTTTTCTCCAGGTTAGCACTAAGCTATTCTATCAAACCCATAACAGCTTGGGAATGGGGGTAATTATCACTGAAGTTTGACTACTACCTGTAAATAACACCTGTAAATACCAGTTTCTAGAAATCTTGCCAGAAGATAGACAAGAAAAAATTATAGCTGTCCTGCACCTCTCTGCCTGAAGGCACCAAGTGTGTCTTTCTGCATATGTGTTTTAAATATATTAAATGGTTTATTTTGTATTCCTTAATACCTATCAATACAACTCAACTGCAATCAAAATTGTGTCTTGGAATTAGATATAAATGCTTTTTTAAAAGGGCATTTAAATTAACTCACAGCACTCTGTGAATTTAATCTTTCCCTAATCCAGGATGTGTGTGTGTGTATATATGTATGTGAAGTAAGAACTTACAACACAACAGAAGAAAAAAATGCTTGTCAGTTAAGTATTTCACTTCTAAATTATCCACACAGCATGTTGCTTTCTGTAAGAACTTTATCCACAGTAAAAAGACAACATGCTTTAGTCCACTTCCAAAAGATAACTACAGTACTCTACCTCATGTTCTGCCTGGTACAGTTTTACAGTGATGTTCCTCTGGAATCCCACCCCATCAGCCTCATAAAATACTCCAAGACGGGTAATGACAATGGGGTAAAGTACACGAAAGTTCACACTGACAATTCTGTCTTCAGATAGCACAGAAGGTACATCCTCAGGGAGACTGAATGCTTCAATTTCCTGATTCAAAACTGTATGAAAAAGAAAGGACAGAGGTAACATGAGAAGACTTCATACTCCTTGAACTGGATACACACAAAGCACACTGGATACAGGCAAAGCATTCTGATTAATTAGCACAGCTCACAAGTGCGCAAGGATAATCAAACGCTGGAGGAGAAAAAAATACAACTGGCTGCAGACTGCAGCAAGGAGAAACTCAGAGTGATGCAGCAATCTGCAGGCTACTGGCAATTGCAAGTCAATGCCTATGTATCCACAGGGAAAAGACTAGAAACACAATAAATCCACAGTGAAGACAAAAATGCTATTTGACTGCATGAATATACACATATTAAAATAATTATTCATGTATCAAAATGGCATATACCTCCACTTAATTCAGCTGCCTGCTTTTTGGCATTATTGTCTCCCTAAGGTACCATTTATTCTAGGGAGATTGGTTAAGCAGTGGATGTTGCCATTCAAAGAGACAGTAACAGAACTTCCATTTTATGGTGAATCATGGCTTCCGTGCCAAGCAGTCCTTCAGTTAACTTGCAATCTGGTACTCAAGACTCTCGCCTTGCTACTTTCTTCACATATGACACTAGACCAGGTCATTCCAGCTCTCACTAACTTGATTTTACACAGGGATCGAGTAAAAATGTAAGTTACATGGGAGAGACTGTCCCCTGCCACAAAGAAAATGCAAATCCATTAGAAGTCAATGGCCTCCCCTTCACAACCCCCACAGATCTCTCCCTTTCATGCCTGCACATGGTACTTACAGGAAGATTATGCAATTGTTAAGACGGCAAGTTCTAGGCGGCATTTATTTTCAAGACTGGCTGTCTGTTAAGCACACCAAACTACTCTGAGAAAAGATCATTAGTTCTAGATAATTCAGATCATAGAATGTTTAGAAGTTAACTTCTATACCTGGGTTACTGATGTTCAGAAGTTTGCAGGAGTAGGGGTCTTCTCTATCCTCCACTGGCACAGCACATCCATGCGCACCTATTATAAACTTCACAAGGACACTAAAATAATTTGGTTTTATTAACACCAGTTCTCTTCCCTCCTCCCTCCATCTTCAATAAACTTATTTCAGCAGAACAGCCTGTCTTTCACAAGATTAAGATTTTGAATACCTTAAAAAACTGAAATGAGTCTGCATGTAGAGCAACCATGTGAATCCCCGTATAGGGGCTCAATTCCAAACCCACATTAACATTTCACATTTCATAATGAGGACACAGGAAAATCGGCAACTAGGAATGGGATTCAAGACAGCCAGCACACTAAACAGAAAAAGACCTAAGGCAAAACTGAAGGATTCTGAAGACCTGCCTTTCCCTGCCTGGCTTTGTTACTTAATTCAAGATTGTTTAAATATTCTGCATTCAGAAGGCAATCAAAAAAATAAGAAGACACATAGCATCAAAGGAGGAACAAGGACTCCAGACTATTTATTACAATGAAAATGTAATAAATTTGGGTTGTAGCAAAACAACAGGTTGCTCTTCCCAGCCCTCGTCATGGTTGTGACACAGTCAGGAGACAACAAGCAGTACAAAGAGCAAGAGGATCGACCTTAGCCTAGTCTTTCACCTAGCAGCTAAGTATCCTCCTGGATAATTAATCAGAATACTCCATCTAAGCTATGAAAGGTCACATGCTGAGATGACTGAAGTAGCTGTGTTTTGCTCCAAACTCCATGCTGGCATCAAATTTGTGGATGGTAAATGGCTTTGAGCGCAAGGCAGGCACAAAGATGTGAGGCCTATCAAAATGACAAAGTTTCCAGGAATGAACTGCAGCAGAACTTTCTCAGCAAGAACAGAGCTGTCTGTAGACTGTCAGGTCTATGCCAGCAATCAGGATAGGTTCTTCAGGTCACTCACACTGCAGCAGTGTGGTACACCTGGTTCAGTGGGAAATAAACCTGAACTTTACAGTTGAGGTCATTGTGAGAGGTTTTTGTGCTTCTCTTACCAAATGCAAACCTGCCTGCTTTCAAGTATCCTGGATTACTAAGCGTTTCAAGTCACATACCATACAAAGCATACATTGCAACAGAAAAAAAGGTCTTATACATTGCTAATGAACAGTGGCAACTAACTGCAAAAATCAAAGAGCAGTTAACAGTCAAACAATTACATTTTATTCCTTGTATAAAAATAGTTACAGCCCAGTATTCTTATATATTACTAAACAGATTTTAAAAATTATCAGAGTAGAAGATGCTCACAAATAAAGCAAAAAAAGAAAATACTTTTTTAAAAGAAAATTTTAAAAATCAAGATATTTAAGCATTATAGCCTTCTCCCCCTGCCAATGTTCCAAATTACAAAACGCTAGAGATTACCGTTGGCTTAGTGCAGGATGTTGTTTCAGGTGCTTGAGCCAAGTGTTCCTTATAACAGTGCGCAGTTCGTGATTATGTCGAGCTGACAAAACACCTACAATAACATCATAATGTTTCAGCTTCCACTGATGCAAGAAGGCCAGTGGACCTAGAAATACAAAGCGACAAAGATTTATTATATTCACTTATTACCACAAGCCAGAGTTGCAAGCAATAATTAAAAGCAAGAGTACTGGGAACCTGAAATACTAAGAACAAGTAGCAGAATTATTATTATATTCTTGTTTCAGAATCAGGGAAACATTTTCAAAATGTCAAAACTTTCACTAGCAATCTAGGAAAACATTATTGTGCTCTGCACTGGTGAGGCCACACCTGGAGTATTGTGTCCAGTTTTGGGCACCTCAATACGAGAGAGATACTGAGGTGCTGGAGTGAGTGCAGAGGCGGGCAACGAAGCTGGTGAAGGGCCTGGAGAATAAATCCTATGGGGAGCGATAGAAGGAGCTGGGACTGTTCAGTTTGAGGAAGAGAAGGCTGAGGGGAGACCTCATCACTCTTCTACAGCTACCTGAAAGGACATTGTAGAGAGGTTGGTGCTGGTCTCTTCTCACAGGTGATTAGTGACAGAACAAGGGGGAATGGATTTAAACTCCAACAGGGGAGGTTCAGACTGGACATTAGGAAAAAATGTTTCACAGAAACAGTGGCCAGACAGTGGAATAGGCTGCCCAGGGAGGTGGTGGAGTCACCATCCCTGGAGGTGTTTAAGGGTCGTTTGGATGAGATGTTGGGGGATATGGTGTAGGGGAGAACTTATAGAGTGGGGCTGGTGGTTGGACTCGATGATCCCAAGGGTCTTTTCCAACCTGAATGATTCTGTGATCCTGTGATTACTGCAATGAACTAAGCAAGTCACCGCGGGTAAACCAAACTAAGAACCTGACTCACAAAGCAGGCAAGAACATAAGTCTTGGTTTTGACTGACAGCATCTTCCATTCAAATATTTGCCTGCCTGTTTTATGAGCAAACTGCCCCCTGAGAACATGCTCTTGATGGGCTTTCTCTTTTCTATCAGCCACCAGAAATCTTGTGGGCAAGACACAAGGTCTTACTGTTCCCTCTGCAAAACTCTTGAGACAGCCTGGGCCTTCCGCTTGCTTTACCGATACCTCCTCCAGCATGATTTATCCTACAGCCTGCAGGCTTGTCATCACTGGTACCAGGCCTTCACTATTAGAATTCATCATTATTCTACCTAGAGAAAAAACGTATTTAAACAAGGCCCATCAGATTCAAAAATAAGCCCATTTCACCCCTTCTTTTTAAAACTGCTGGACTACCTTTCTGCCTCACCATTTCAGTCTCGCTGTCAAGGCCTATCATTTCTAACTTTCTGAAGTTGAACGGTACTCTGTCTTCACATAGGGTATTGCATTCCTACGCAGAGGAATGCTCTGGCTTTATTCATAGCTGGATGTCACCGCCAATACTTGTAAACCATGATTTAGTTTGTGCTGTTTTAATTCAGAGATCATGAAAGCTGGACTTGATTTCAAGCAAGATTATGATCAGGTAGAGACCTAAGAAGCTCTGACTTAAGAGCCTGCAAACAGTGAGGTAAGTAGCCAAAGTGAATTTTCTTAGTTTAATTTATCAGACATTCTAGAGTTCAGAGATTTATACTTGGTTTTAGCAAAGGATTGCTTTCCTCTCACTTCACTTTTTTTTTCATTAGGTGGCAGATAAAGAAAACATGTAAATGTGAGGGCCCTCTAAACTACTGTATACAACAAAGACAAGATTTTTATAAATCCAATTTTAAACAGACCAAAAATATTGCTAAGTCTATATTGTGTACTCCCACTAGAAAGAGTTGAACTGTAATCCAGATTCTACCTTCTGTACCAGCATTCCCTTTCTCCACTTTGAAACTGAGAAGATAGATGGGTCTTGTTACAACTGCTCACTGACTTAGGACCTCACAGCACCCACCACAAGAACTGCTGTGTCAAATCACACCAGACATCCATCCAGCCTTATGTTATTCCATCTTCAGTGTGCAGCATGCAGTGGAGAGGCCTTGGTCTTGCTCTGCTCTGTGCTGAATCAACATCAAAAGATTTCAGAACATTGGTTTTTGCTTTAGGGGCTATTGATAATGGCTTGAACCTGACTTCTTAGTCCCAAAGCCAAATAAAACAGTGCTCTGCAAGAGCAGGGAAAGCAGAGTGATGTTTCCACAAGCAAATCTTTCCCATTCTAAGCATGCAAACACTGTTTTTCTACAAAAAGGTTAAGTTCCACAGCTATTTAAATGAATTCATACTGACAACTGGTACAAGCTTATCAATAAGTTAAACTGAACATTAACTTATTAAGAGAAGTAAGAATATTAACCTATTACATCAATTTACGCTCAGAACAACTTAAAAAAATAAGCAGCAAGTCACTAGTTCCCTTCCTTGGTTTTTCACCAAACTTAACTGTTACATCTCTTATAACAATCATACATTGAATAGGTGGCAAGGTTCAGGAATATGATTTGTTTACTGACAGAACAACAAACCTACTGCCCTATATAACATCTGAAAAAAAATGCAAATCAAACACATTGCTCAATCCAAATACAAGTTTTCCTTTATGCTGGTAAATACCAACTATCCAGAGGGTCTGTATGTCCTCAGAGGTCATTACAGAGCAAAGATCCACCAGGTATCCATGAGAGTAGAGGTACACGAAACAGCCACAAGTTTATAAGACCACAACATTACAGCAGATTCTTCTGCAGTCTCATAATTCCTCCTCACACATCCCTTTTTTTTTCTGTGTTCTTCTTCCATCCTTTGATTATTCTTTAAACAGCCTCTGCAGCCTTACCCACAACCCTTCCGATATAAATCTCACAGGAGGACTAACGCATTCGTATACTGCACTTAAGGTATTGTTTACACAGATTTGTTTTTTTAAGGTATCACTTTTAATTAGAAGCAGAACCATTTCATTAAGTTAAAATTAAAGAAAAATAAAACTAAGAGCAGAAGTCTATGGGCGACTTGACTTAGAACAGCATAAATTGGCTTAAATCAATTTAAAAAGAAAAACTAAAAATAAGCTACTCAAATATACTTTTAATTAGTTTATATTTTAAAATGAGCAAAGCTCTTCTTGTGAACCCTTCACGTGGGAACAACATTAACGTCACAAATGCTTCGAATTAATATCCTACTGCTTTTAGAACAGACAGCTCTTTCTTGTTTTAGGCCATCTTCAGGCTTAGTAAGGTAACATTATAGCAGTCTACATTCAGAAGATTGTCTTTCTCTGTCTCAAGGGTTATGTCATTTTACCACTGAAAATGAGGAAAACCAAAAAAGCTTACCTTCACAAAAAAACCTAGTGAACAAGCTCTCTGCTTGTTGGCAAAGGTTACTACTTCCTATGGAAAAGTAGGAATAACACTTGCTAAACTTTCAGGAAAAGTGATTCCTATGTCTCTATCTAACCTAGCACTATTAAACAAATGGGAGATAAAGTAAGAGGCACAGGGGGGGAAAAAAAGACTAAGGTTATTATTAATTTATAAGAATAATTCAGATATGTGCATACATATGCTCTGATGCAGCATAATTTAAGAGAAAAGATTGCTGACCTCCAATTCAATAATAGCAATTTATACAAGCAATAAATACTTGCCACTGGGATCAAACTTACTTATCTTGTGTTCTATTTTTGTGCATTTTTATTAAAGTATTGGTAATAGGCTTAAAAAATACCTCTTACATCACTCATATCTTGAACTGGCTCTGCAAGATAGTTAAGCCTTGAAGTTTTCCAACTACAAAAACAAAAAAAAACCCTTGTCAATTCTGTGGTTTGTGAAAGGGAGGGGACGAGGGGGTAAAAAGAAAAAAGCTACATATCACATTCCACAATAAACCCTAAAAGCGTTGCTAACTAAAGGGATGCAGGAGGAGAGGAAGCCTAGTTCACTAGTCACTAGTTCCCTTGCTTTTGACTTCTTACTGTCTTAAAGCAGCATCTCAGTTGCATCACGCATCCCAAGACTTCTCAGTGGAACAGCCACAGCCAAAGTTGCAATGCCTACCCTTTAGCATCAGGAACAAAATGGCTTTCACTTTGCTGATTTGTCTGAGGCTGTTAACCCCCAGTAAAAGCTACAAAAACATGAAAGGAAGTAGCCTTCTCTCAGCTGCTGAGATTCATATAACTCTGTACAGCAACTCCAAGGGGTACTTCTGTCAGCTCTAAGGCTACTGAAGTCCAGTCTGCCAGTCTTGTGTGTAACATGGTTAATAACACGTTCCTACTTACCGAAGCCTCCATGGGCTGTGATACTTGTAAGGACAGGCTCCCATACAATTCTCTGATGTATGACCATACACGTATTTCTATTAGTACAGTTTTTCACCTCAGTATGAGCTGCAGTAATCTTTCACAGGATTCTCAGTTACCAATTTTCATGAAACAGACCTCTGCCTGTCTGTCAAACTTGACTGAGAACTACCAACAGATCAAAGTTAGGGAGAGACATAGGAAAAAGTAAGTAAGTGCATATATAGAGGACAAAGCTGTGCCCTTAGAAGACAAGGCTAAAGATGCAGAAGTGTGTGTCTCCTACTGACTTGGCCACGGGAGGAAGTCACTGATAACAGGCAGTCTGCTGGCCCTAGTCAGATTTTAACCACCTCTGCAGCAGTCGACAGCTCTTGAAGTTTATCAGAATCCCAAACTACAAAGATTAACATGCATCTCTTCTTCCTGTGAGACTGATTCGCAAGTAAAATGTCAAGTTAAGCCGTTAATTATATTTACTGTCATTATAAGGAGATGAAAAGATTGAGAGATCATTTAGCTTGATTTTGTCGACAAACAAGGTAAGTATGATCTTGCTGCATGTATCTCTACTGATGAGTCCCCTACCAACTACTAAATTTGCCAGTCATTTTCAGTCAAGTTTGACATAGTGTGCAGTCCCCAAAGTGATTAAGTTCCCACATTTCACAGAACTGGACTGGACAGAGAAAAGACTCACTGTTAGTGACTGCACCAAGAAACACAGCAGTGTAGGCTTACCGGCACTATCAGGCACCAGAGAACCTTCACTGGAGACTGCTAGAATAAGTAAGCTCCACAGAAGGCTGAGCTTTGTCTCTTCTGCTACCCATACAGCTTTTTTTTTTTTTTTTTAAAGTAAAAGGGATCAAGGAATGGAACTAAGTAGGTCAGGCAGAAGTTATTTAGAATATTCTTAACTAATCCACTTCACAAGATAAGACTAAAAAGGAACACCACCCCTCCAACACCACCACTCCCCATTCCAGGTTGTTATCTCTGCCTATTCTTGCAACTTTGCAACCATATTCCTGTTTTTTAATACCTTTTTCTTCTGTCCTGCTTTGTGAAAGATCCAAACACACACGAAGGAAGGAATTAACCAAATATAAAGGTTTGTATTCACAGAATGCTGACAGATGCAGAAAAAGAACAAACCAAAGAGCAAAAGCAGCTCTTTTCTTCCCTCTAATCTTCTTCACTTAAAGTAATCTGCTATAGCTCATCTGCATTACACATTTCCCTGCAAGCAGAGCTACATGACCCCCCTGCAGTACCTATTTTATACCAGAGCTAAAAATCACCAAGATGCACACCCCTGGTTTCTGCAGGAGCACAGTACTCCTTGAGACAGACAAGCCTTTAGACAAGCTTTTAAACAAGCTTTACAGATTCAAAGAGGAAAACCTCTGTAGGCAGTTTTGGTTTTTTTTTAACATCAACAGCATTCTCTTAAAGAAATAGGACAGCAGGGTCCTTTTGAGCTACAAAGTGACAGTAGTAATACTGGTGGGATGATGGTGCTCTGAACACCATTACTGATACAGCATTTGAACACTTCTAGACAAATCTGGAAACAGCGGCCAAAACATCAGAAGTGTAGATACAAAATGAATAAAGCAAATCTTGATGTCTTTTTGCGGGGGGGGGCACACACGACACACGGGACGACACAACAGACAGATGGACACAGAGCAGAGGGAGCACAGCACCAACTCTGAAAAGCAGTTACAAATCCCTGATGCCATGGAACAAAAGTCTGCTCCCTAGGAAAGGTACTTGCTCCCTTCTGGCTGTTCTACCCAGTGGGCAATTTAGAAGACAACTGCTGAAGAGCTTCCTTCAGCCACAAACCTTGCTCCCCAACACTGGCAGAACTGGTACTCTTCGTCCCTTACTCCAATGCCAAAACACAAAATGCAACTCCAGTGCTGATCGTTAGTAGTTTGCAATGTCTCAGACATCAGTCCACAGAATAACTGCAAACTAAAAAAATCCCAATGCAATTGGAAAATACTGTCGGTTTTGTTGTGGATTCTTTGTCAGTTATTTTATGTCCATCAAAGGTGAGGGGATTGTTTTCATTGGGGATGGCACATCCCCAGAAAACAATGTTATATAGTAAGATCTCATGGATGAAGTCTGGGGAACAACTGACATTTTAGGCAGAACTGCACAGCTATCAATGCCAAACCTGACCTGTTGATGGAAGGTTTCAATTTCCAATGCCACCAGCCTATTAGTCTTTACATGCCTACAAAAGATGAAACAACCTTGTGACCAAGCATACTACTCCCTGACAGACAGGCTGAACAGATTTCAGACAACATCTTTTCTTAAGAAAGTATCACATTTTGGCAGAATTTCTCCTCACTGAGGACGGCATCACTCATAACCTCAGAAATTGTTTCTACATTTTGTTATTTCAGTGCTGAAAAGCCAAAAGCAGCTTAAGCTCTCCCTCCCTCTCTCTCACCTGGCACATACTCAGGCTAGTCAATGAGGGGGACAGCCCTAATTCTGCAGGGCAGATCACTAAACGCAAGCCTGACCAGCCCTGTATACAGTTCCATCAGGCCACTGCCTGAAGAAGTACATGCTGAACCACAGGACAACAGATGGCATACAAGCAGTTCCTAGAAAATGGTGGTTTTTAATCTGTTGCATAATTATTCACTAGTAAAAGATAGACTAACAAAACCAAGAGGGCCAATTCTTAGCTGCCACACACCCCCAGAAATGTAGCAGGAATAACGTCTTAAAGGGCATTAGCATCAGCAAAGTATCAGCATATTACATTGAATGTGTGGGGCTTTCTGATTAGACACTAACTGAAGCCCTACAGTGAGTAATTTCCTACTCAATAAGACTTGTGCCATCAATTAAAACACACAATTAGCAAGGAATCCACCTGGAGTGCTAAAAGCAGGTCTGTCTGTTCTTTCTCAAGTTTCTGAGGTCATTTTATAATTAGCATTTATCTAAGATTTTTACAAAAATTAACTAAAGCTTCCTACCCATCAACTTCCTTTGGATAGCACTTGTTTGTAACCAGTTAGACAAGGACTTCAATTAAACCCAAAAGCATATTCTTGCACGAGCCTTGCTCAGAAGTGTGTATCACAGTCCTGTTAACTGATGAACAAGAAGGAGGAAGCCATCAAAGTCCGGACACTGAAGCAAAGGCCAGTGCCTCTGGTCTCGGAACTGATCCTATTTATTTTTTTCCAACTAATGAGTACTGCCTACAAGAAGTGACACCAAGGTAAAAGTGATCATGAACACAGAGAAAGTCAGAATACTGTACAGGGAGAGACATAACCATGGGCCAAAGCATGCAAGCAGACTACAGGCCTTTCACATGGGTTAGTTAAGAAGAAAGTTTCATTAAAGGAGGTACTTCCAATACAGGAAGAGAAGTAGATGGAACAAGTGAAGACTGGAACACTGTTTACATTTAAAGTCATCTGACCTATGAACAACAAAAATTAACTGCTTTCCAGAAATGGAAAGCCTGTTTGGCCAGTAGCAGTACCTGATTTGCTCAGCTTAAAAAAACCAAAGGTATAAAACAGACAGATACCTTTGATGTCTACAATTACATGATGGAGGTGTACTTGAGGGAGAAGAAAGGCCCTTTTAACTGAAAGGCTTAAGAACAGGGCATAAACCAGTTGCAAGTAAATTTAGGCCAGAAATGAGAGAACATTTTAAATCAGGATAGCAAACTTGTGAAAAGCATCTTCCTAAGACTGCTAGGAATCCAAATGAACAAAGACCCACCCCAACCTTTCACTAAATAAATGTAGGCTGCCCATCTGCCATTTTAAGACAGAGATCAAGAGTTGCTTATTAGAAAAGGAAAACAGAATTGATGGCTGGAAATTTCTATTCCAGTCTTATGTTAGCAAGTCTATGATGTCAAGGTAAATAATCACTAAAACAGGTTATCAACTTTTTTAGCAAATTTCTGCTTCTGTGTGGGTGCGCGATGACTACTGAGAGGGGAATTAGAGTCCTAAAAAAAAGGAAATGCTGTTCACTCTGCCTTTGACCTCCGCTGGTAGCCGATTTTGCAACTCTCGAGACACTACATAACTACTGAAACACACAGACACTACACAGAAATACCAAAGAATACACAAATAATGCATTTTTATGTCACAGCTATTGTAAAACACTGTCCCATGATCAGATTCAATTTTTATTCATACCAGTGATGCCAGGTAGTAGGTAATAAAGAGCAGCTGGAGCAGTAAACAAGGAAAAAAACCCCAAACATTAATAATCAAATCAAACAAGATTGGTTTTATCAGGCAGTACCAGATTCTCTTAAATAGTTTCAGATTCAAGAAGCTTTTTAATAAATAGGGACATTCCTTGCTCTTGTATATGTTCCTGAAACACTCTGAATAATTAAAAAATAGAACACGTAAGACATCAGAGATAAAAGAGGTCCCTTAGCTCATCCTTCTTTTGTCTGCCAAGGCAGCCATACACCTCCAGCTTGTACATTTCATGATACTACTAAGGTGAAGAGGCAGACTTTTCCTTAAATTATCATGCAAGGATCAGGCCTACAAAGTGGCTGTGCATGTACAGTATTGAGCCTCCTACTGATGATGGAAGCTCTCTCTGTAAGAGTCATCCTTTTTTCTCTCCTCGGTGTGAACACATTATAACCAAATAATCCTAGAAGAAACAAAGTGCACACTTGCTTTTCCAGTATTAAAAAATAACAGCTTTTTAAAATCTTAGTTATCCTAACATTATCCAGTGCAACACAGTGTCACAGCAACAAACACAAACTCCAATCATAATTGCTTGAAACACTGAATCTCTGAAGAGCAAAGCTTCTTCCTTCCCTCCCCATCTGAGAAACTTCTGGATTTTCTTTAGAAAAGTTTGCTATTGGAAAACATTTCTGCAGGAAAGGTCATGGTGAGCTTCCACATTGCCACTTCCAACTCCAAATTAACGCACTGAAGTTACAAAAGCAGCACCGTGGAAGATGAGGAACAAAACCAACCAGACAATTCAAACGCACTTTAGGCTAACAACTAGAACTCCCGTTCTTTTTTATAATTCAAGTGCTCAATGGCCAGAAAGCAGAGACAGACAGAGCCATAGAGCTCTGCGGCCTTCAGACTACGCAAACGCACTGACCTTGCTCCTTTCACACCTGCTTTATTAATTACCCCTGGAAACCGGCAGCCTCTCCTTTCCTCAGCGCTGTCTGTGTACACCCTGCACAGGGAACAGGCACCAGTTGCAAAGAGTGGCTTTGCTGGTGAACAGGCTACTGGGTTGTTAAACTGAGTTCTAAGCAGATCTCAAGTAAAAAAAAAAAAAAACCCACCATTTTTTCTTTATCGTTGTTTCAGATGTCTTGTAGAGCATTTCTTAACGTTCTCAAACAGCACCTATGGGTAGCTGACAAAAGTTTGTTCCTACAGATGGCCGTTTCTACCGGGCACACACATTTGCGGCCTGAAAACTACAAGTCCTTTTACGAGGAGCACAGCGTAAGCCCTCAGGGGCCTGATTCCACTCGTGTTGGCTCATACCCCACTCTCGGAATAGCTTTTCGCACCGCAGGGCTTTTAAAGAATGCGTCTGTGGCAAACCCGGCACAGCACAAAGGGCTATTCCTAGCGGCGGCAATGACGCGACGCAAGAGAAGTCGGCGGGCACTGCTTCCCCACGCACCTCAGTGG